ATAGCTAATTGAAAATCATCCAAATATTTTAAACAGATATTTGCAGCATCCTTTAATTTATCACTAAGAAGGAAGAATGCAGCCGCATATTCTATAAAATTCGACTTTATTTTACCATTCATCATCAATAAGTAAAAATTTACTCGAAAAAATATATACCATATCTTTGTTTTCCCAACAATGCATATGCATTTTTCGAAGCAGCAGTCTTCCACCTTGGTTCTTCAAAATTGTTTGACAAAAATTTCAGCATAACAGCTTGCTCTTTATGGCTATTGGCCGTTTTCCATAATCCTAACAATAATTTCTTCTTCCTTAATGCCATATAAAAAAGTGAACAATCTGTTGGATCTTTTTCTTCTTTTTGCATATAATGATTACGAGCTATAATCTCCATTTGTTGTCGCTATTATGTTTATTAAAATTAAACAAGTTATTGAAGCTGTATCTAAATTGTACTTTTAAATTTATTGAGATACACACCACTGTTTCGTTACTTCTAAGCCACAAAAAAATCCCATGAACTCTTGCGTCATTCCATAAAAGCTTTCCACCTGATGCAACAGTGCTATATTCAATCAACAAATCCTATAATAATATCAATATAAACAAGTTTATTGATAATAAATGTCGCGGCTGATGTTGAAATTTGGGGTGTCTACTTAAAGACATAAAACCTACTTATACGTTTTTTTTAACAGCTCTATTACTAATCCAAAAAAAAATAAAGAATAAAAAATGCATCCAAAATATTTTTAAATTCAGCACCAGCAGCGACAAAATTGATATTTTTGAAACAAGAAAAAACCTAAGAATAAAACCTGAGAATCACTATGCAATGCCCAATTCATATCACGATAACTTAATCCAGGTGCTCTAAAAGTGGCTCTGTTCAGATAGTGGTACCTTCTCATGAATAATACATATCGAACCCCATTTTCATCCAAGCTTCGTTTTTGACTTTCCACCTAGAGAGTACATATTATCTTATAGCAATTTTTTAAATTGAATGATAGAAGACATTAACAATATTTACTTGAATTAATGTATCAATTAAGGCAAGCAACTGTGCTTGTTCAACAGATGTCAATTCCGGTAAGGAAATGACCTTTAATTGTTCACTTAAGAAATTTGCTGCTTCTTCTGTAAAATCAAGAACCGATTCTTGTGAACTGTCGATTGGAAAAAGAAATGATTAGATTAATTGCATTAAACAAACTAAATAATAAATAATACATTCCTTCCTATACTTACTCATCATCATCACTATCTTCTCCAAACAGAATGCTATATCGACGAGTCTTCTTCGATGTCTTTGACTAAAAATAACAATTAGCTCATATCATTCTAAATCATAATTAATATTAACTTTGAAATAATACATACAGAATCGTCGTCTTCAAGTAGTTTATCAAATGGTACAGGAAGCATTCTCGAAATAGGCTTATTAGCACCAATTAAAAGTTTAAGATATTTATAAAGGTGTGCAAGTATTTGTTTTACCAATTCAATTTTTCCTAGTTTAATTGTCAAAACAGTAATTAGAATAAATACATTCTAATCTATCTTAACAATAAGTAATTTAATTACCCCACAGAATATGTTGCAATAATAAAGTTGGATGATGATGAGGTAATGGTCCATTTAAATAATCAACAACGTGAAATAATGTAGGGAATTGTTTATTTATCCCTGTAATTCTAGATACTAGTTATGATAAAATAATTACGTACTAGTTAGTAAAAAAGAGAAGATACCAAACGCATGTCATTAAACAATTTGAATAACCTTTATTATTATTCTCATGATCCAACCATTTATTATAACATCTTAGCTGATTTCCATTAGCAACAATAAGTGAACCTCTATTTCCCCACGATATTGCAGAAATTGGAAGTGGTAAATTACTAATATACAATTATAAATAAAAATAAAAAATAAGTAATTTTGGGAATAAACAATTTTCTGAACGCTTTGAGACAAACCTCATTATATCGATCTCCAAAAACAAAAGCCAACTAGTTCTGACAGAAATATGATGTCTTCGCACCCGAGTATAGATCAAAATCTTTCGCGATGTCGCGATCGCTAATATAAGCTCAGCATTCGACGTAAATAACCAATCTATATCAATAATTCTCTCACTTATTATATATAAAACAGAAAAAGGCTATGTAATCTATGTAATATAATAATAATAATAATAATAATAACACAGATTTAACATACTTAAATTCTACAATAAATTCCTTAGTAGGTGGCAATTTCTTGGTGATATATCCCCATATAATCAGTTCATATCCATTTGAAGTTTGCAGTACTACTTGCAAAAAATTTTTTAGCAATAAATTCGTATTATTAAACATCAATTGCTCAAACAAGTAATATATTTTCTAACCACATACCAATAGCAATCTTCCCTTGTGGACCACATTTAATGACCTTCGGATCTTCTCCAACAAAAAACTTCACTTCTTCCGACCAAATATTCACTGTCGCCTGAGATTTCTGATCCGTTTTATTGTCCAAATTGCACAGCCAATGTCTAATGTATCCATCTTCAGAACTAAAAGTTGCTAAAACTGGGTAGTGTCGATCCTGTGGTAAGCAGTTACTTACAGTTGAACCTGTAAATTGTTCAATTGATACTGCTTTCGTAATTTTATAATTCATTTGAAGTGACGACCTTGATATAAATACTATCTGTTGAACTATTGTTGTTGAAGACATTAAAAATAGGATTAATAATGATAATATATGGATCAAAGTCGTGAGAAAGTAATAGAAACCTGAATCATTTGTAAATTTCCATAAAAAGACAGCATTCTCTCGGTAACTAACTCCAGCGAGATAAGTTGTTAAAGATGATTTCATATGTTGAAAATTAAATAACAAAATTAACTCAAACAATGGATCGTAATCTTCAAGAATCGCTATTTGAACAAAATGGTCATTTTTTGCACCATAAGAAAACACAACAATTCGATCTCCATCATAAACTGCCAAACAGTTCACTGAAAAAAAATGGATTTTGAAATTCTGCATTGAATATTACATATATGAAAAGTTCAATAACTGATAAATAAACATATATACCGTGTGAAATAACACAAACGAGTTTTATTTGAGAATCAATTTTAACAGGAAATTTTTCAAAAATACTTGGACCAATTCGTTTGTTAATCTATAAAAATAACATAAAAGTAAATCAACTCCGCCCAAATACATGAAATTTATAACAACATACTTGATCAATATCTGGCATAGAGATCTTCCACAAAATCGTTTCTCCGGCTCTCGCAAGTGACACTAATACATCGTCTACTGGTGCTTTTTTTATACTTATTATATCATTATGATGACCAGTCCATGAATATTTATATTGTACTGGCATATTTGATGATAGACTATCAAACAAATCAACCAATCGAATTGAATATTTATTCAATCGACCTTGGGGACTTTGTGCAATTACAGCAAGCTCTACTGATGCTTCATTTGAAAATTTATTATTATAATTAACGAGAGATCGTATAACAATTATAACAATTATCTAGGACTCTAGATGAATAAAACCGGGCAAAGCTTACATTTTAGAATGTCAGCAGGTGTATTATCGTAAAAAGTAAATGTTCTTCCAAAAAAATATTCAACATCTGATACAGGAAGCGCTTGAGCCAAACGTAATAATACGAGAACTTTCGGAATTCGCCGTGGTCTACAATAAATATTCTATGACAGCAGTGAGTATGGTTAAATTTGATTAATTGTCATCTGCCGAATAATGAATCTTTACGTAAAAAAAAAAAGATTTGTGTAGTGCTGCTGAAAGAAAACCAAACTGCTGGCTTTGAATTTGTTACCTATACCAACTTGGCTCTTAAAATTTAATTAGCGATGTATAATACATATATGACTTTAATTACATATTACATGGAGTCTTTGCCTTGAAAATCAAGTTATGAGACATATGATTTACTATGTCCCATAACTTGATTTTCAAGGTAAAGACTCCGTATGTCACAGAGTCCCAGTAATGTGATAAATTCAAGCCAGTTGTTTGGGTTCTTTCGGTGGCATTCATATACATCAAGATACTTAAACTCACACGAATCCCCCAAATAACCATCGATCCATCTCTTTGAACCTGATACAACAAATCAGGTGTATCGTTCGCCAAATTTCTCAATTTCCTCAACCCTTTCCCAAAATTAGAATCATCTATCTCCCCATCAAATGTTTCAATACTTGATCTAAGTGCACTTAAAAATTCTTTCGAATCGATCCAATGTATTGAAGTAAAAAGATTAGGATCCTCATTATATGTTTCTTCTTCCAATGTTTGAAGTGTAACTAGTGATTGTGATGGATCAACCACTGTTGATATGTAGAGGAATTGTGGCTCATCGGGATTTGTTGATGCCCAAATTCGACAGATTCCATCTTTACACATTGTTATGAGAATATTAGAACCTACAGAACTGCATTATTAAAAAAATATATAAATGTTATAAAAAAAGAAACTTTATTGAACAATGATGTTAGAAGAAACTAATATTACTTTTTTTGTTCAGGAGGACCTTTTCTCCATGTAAAATTGGTCACGGCTCTTGGATGTGGTAAGTAGTTAAATTCATATTGTCGATCCTTCGTCTCACTACTGTGAGGATTCCACCAAATTTTCACCAACCTATCATTCTTATTATAGAATATTTTTGAATTAATTAACTAACAAAATAATTTTGAAAGAATGGTTTAAATGTATAGTGCTTTACATCGCCCATAGAAGCAAACAATGTATAATCAGGTGAAAATTGCACAAGTATTGTTTTTGCGGAGACTCTGACAATGTAAAGTATAAATTTAGATTAGAACGCCGTTCTAATATGATTAATAATCCGTATGCATCATCAAAATATGAACCTTTGTTCCCATAATTTTGTCCATTTTACTGAAATCTCTTGATTAGGTGATATGACTTCTTTCCAAATAGTGAGTGAATTACCGCCAACCAATAGTTGATCTTTATAAAAATAAATAAAAAGTATCAACTGCGAAAAGTGTGATACTTATCTTTTGAATTTGTATCTTAGATTAAAAGATTTTAATCTTCAACACTCACCACCATTCCAGGAGGTACAGAATATTGGATAATCATGTTTCAATATTTTCATTAATTTCCATTGTACATTCTGAATTATACAAACATTACTACTTAAGTAAAAATTATAAGGAAAAAAAATCGGATATACGTAATTTTTAAAACAATTATCACTTTATTGACTTGTTGTGGATATAATACAAGTGCATCTGTGCCGATAGTCAACGCAATCTGTTTATAATATAATTAAAAACCGTATTGAAAATCAATGAATACAATTATGCTATAGTAATCTACGATGTTCTATCTTGAATGTAACTTTCTTTTACAGAATTCATCAAAAATTTGATCGATTTATATATTCAATTTAACAAACCTTGCCATCAATTTCTGAAATCTCAACTGACACTACATTATTTTCTAGTTTCGTTTCCTGATTAATGTCCCTTAATAATTTAAAAACGTCTATCGTTTGAATCTGTTCCAAACAGCCATTATATATCACTAAATTACTTCCAGTTCCATATGCCTTTTTTTAAATGTAGAATGTAATTTAATGAGAAAGTATCGTCAGACTATAATAACAATCATACTTTTTATAATCTTACAAGATAGCGATCACCTCCCCACTGTGCAGAGTGAAAACTTTGAACATAACCATTAGTTTTGCCTGAATAGATTTCTTGAAGTGACATATCTAAGTACGTACGTACTTATAATCGAGAGTACGTTAGGGTGTCGCACGAATTAAAGAGGATTTACAAATAAGGGCCAAAATAATTATTGATGCTGTTAGATCAGTAGCAGTAGATTCTACTCGAACAGTCACATTCTAATTGGACGAAATCGACGATCCTTTCTTTAACAGTCAATCATCGATTTTGGATAAGTGATTATCGAGATATCTTAGTTTAAAGTTTAGAAAAAACTTGTTTTGATAGTCCCCTAAATTTTTTTTCAAACTTTGAATGAATATATCTCGAGAATAACTTATTTAAATCAATAAAAGTTTTTTTTATTTCAATTCTATAAATTAATAGAATTGGAATAAAATAAATTTCAACGATTTCAAATGTATATAGTTATCGAGATATCTTCGTTCAAAGTTTTGAGAAATGCTTTAATACCGATACTGTTATATTGAATGTTGACCATCACTTTTTTTTCGCCATGGGTACTATTTACTGCGGTAACATACTAACGACCCTGATCATATGAAAGATCATATGAGTTTGCCGGATAATTTTTTATAACATGGGCGCGGAGCAACTGATTTTAACTCCGGATAAATAAAAAAGGAAATCCTGTTTCACACTAGGCTCGAATTTTTGCAGAATATACGCATATACTCTCGTCTATCTTCTAAAAACTAGAATTATCTATCATTTTACGAGAAAAATGGCCACTTTAGACAGTGTAGGCACTGCTGGTAAAGCAGCGTCTGAAGTTCTTATAAACGTTGGGCAAATAGTTCCACTTGTTGGTATTATTGCTGCGTTATTCCGAGAAATAATTGCTTTAGCTGAAAAAGCAGGGCACAATAAAAGATTTTGTAGAAGGTTAGCTGAGCGTGTACGCGTAGCAAATCAAACACTCGCGCAAATCCCTATAAAGGACGAAAATGATTTAGCTTTAAAGAACTATGTTCAAGCGATAACGAATTGTAAGGATTTCATTGAAAAGATTAGCAATTCTGGGACATTCATGAAATTGTTTACAGCCCATGAGGTAAAAATTGTAATTTTCATAAAATATATGCTTAAAATTGATCATTTCATCTCAAAGTTTTGATTTAACTTTCTCATGATTAACACTAGATCGAAGCAGCATATAAGAATGTCACTGAAGAATTAGATGTCGCGATTAACCAATTAGGGCTAACTATGTGCATTAGAACAAGTAAAGATATCGAAGATGATCGTAAATTGTTCCTTTCAGAGATAAAAACTTCATTTCAAGTTATTGAAGAAGTTACGAAAGACTTGTATGACATTGGAATGGACGTTCAACAAAGATTTGTTGCATTTGAAGCCAAGTTGGATACCATTCATACAGCCGTTGATAATGTGAGTAAAGGTGTCATAACAAACAATAAAACTTTGGAAAATTCCAAAATACCTTGCAACCAAATTACAGATTGTGGTGAAGAGGATGAGGAGAAGCGTGGTCATATAGTGAAGAAAATATATATTTATCAGACAGTCGCCCAAAAGGAGATCGGACATATTTATTCTTTAGAGAATTCTTTACAAAAATCCATAGAACTTATTGAAAGAGAAGTTGCCATTCTCACTGAACTAAAAAATTGCCAAAATATTATAACATTGTAAGTCAAGCGATTTCTTTTAAACCACAAAAATCTTTTCTAATAATTTACAATTGGTACTGGTAGTTATGGTACAATGCAGCGTAGTGGTAAACTATACATTATATCAGAATGGGCAGAAAAAGGTGATCTTAACACTTACCTGAAAAATCATACTGAAACCTGGGAGTTCAAACTTAGAATTGCCACTGAAATAGCCGGTGGCTTAGTGTTCTGTCATGTATGCGATATATTGCATCACGACATAAGAAGGTTCGATGTTATAAATCTAATAAATTTAAATAATTTAATAATAATAATCGAGTATTAATACATTTTACTTTATCTTCAGTCACAATATACTGTTAACAAATAATTTAACGGCGAAGATCAGTAATTTTAGTTCTAGTCGTAAAGAGAGTGACGTTACAACAAAGGTTAAGGACATCACACTTAGATACAGGTAACCTATTTGATAAATATTCATTGAAATTTTTGTGTTCTTAAATATTTATCATTTATGTAATTCAGATGGCTTGCACCTGAGAAACTTGAAAATTATAAAGATAACGAGTATACTAAGCAATGTGATATATACAGGTGTGTGACTTATTTGAAGAACCATATTTTATTATGTAATTTTTACTCACTTCATTGTCTAAAACAAACAATAGTTTCGCTATTGTACTTTGGGAACTGGCCGCTCAAGAAGTACCATTTGCAGATGTTACAGTTGTTACGGATTTGATAACAAAGATAACGAGCGGAGAACGCCCACCACTAATAAAAGATACGCCTCCTGCATATGAAAAAATTATGCAGCAAGGATGGCAACGACTTCCGATAAAACGCCCGACAGCCGACCTCATGTTTAAAGAATTAAAATCCTGTTATTTAAAGTCTCTCAAACCTCTTTAAATTATGATAGCGATAGTTTGGGAATTAGGATTTCTACTTAATTTGGGTTTATAACCAAAACCCAACATATGTTCCATATCGATTAATAGTGTCAAAAACCAGTCAATCTGTTATTTTAACAATGGCAATATTATATAATGGCCAGTCTGTACTGGATCAAGGATTGCAATTTTTTAAAAAAATCTGAATCATACTGCCAAAATAGGATAGTACTAGATTTTTTAATCTATTGCATTTTATTAATGTTATTTTTTTTTCGGTATTATGCATATTTACATATTATGAGGTTGTGCCGTACCAGGAAAATGAGGGTTCAAAGACCCTAGATTTCTGAATTAAATTTTCTTTAAAAACTGCTATCTAAATAAACCGTAAACGTGTTATAATCAAATTAAAACGATAAACAATTAATAATGGTATAAATTTATTTTGTTCTAAATAATTTTTTTTAAAAAGTGATTTTAATAGATATCTTATGAAAATAAAATTGATATTCAAATTTCTTTATGGAAATAAGCTTCCAATTGTCAGGGGTCCGCGATGATTAATCGGTGAACTTTGAATATTGCATCTCGTAGAGTGACAATTAATTTTCGGGAAACTATTTTCATGAACCAATTTCAATTAATATCAACTTTTTCTCTTTCTGCTTGACTTATTTTTATTTTTTAACACCTTTTTTTTATAATCTATTTTTTATTACATTATTATCTCACCGTAATTCAAATACTGTTTTTTTTTTTTTATTAATCAATAGCACACGGAATTAGCGCATTTGATGATACAAGCTCACAAAAAAGGTCACCATATAAAACATTGGCAGATCGATATAAAACTTTGGGGCATTAAATTTATAATAATATAGAAGGAATACGACTAATTGAATTAAAGTAATTACTTCATTTTTATTTTACTAAAAGCTAATAAATACTATTTAGAAATTTGTATCTCTAAAATTTAAATTCAATTAATAAATTAGTATTAAATTGCATTAAATAAGTTTAACCCTCATACTTAAAACTATTTAAAAAGTTTTACAAATGTCACAAGCATAAATTGATAATATCCTAATACATTAACTAACTAACTGACAACCACCATTTACCGCATGTATATATAGGATATTAATTCCATAATAAAAAATCTAACCACAACATGATCCACAAGCGTGATTGTGATAGGATCTTTTATCTACAATAAAATAAATCTTAATATAACTTATATTTAATTTAAAAAGTCGAATGTACCTAGAAAAGACCTACCATAATCACTTGAACGTCCAATTTTTTTGAATCCACCACTTCCTCCGCTATTACCGTTTCTCATGTTTTCAGCTACGCTAGGCTACCATATTTTTAAGTTAGTCACTTAGAAAAATTTAAATTGAATTTCACAATTTAAATAAATTAGGTGTTGATACCGAAATTAAGCTTTGAAAAAAGAACCAGATAAAAAAATAGATTGACCAAAATGTGTCTTTAACTGCTTTTATGACAGGTTTTCCTTCACGCACGGTACCGTCTATCGTTTAGAATTGTTGAAATAGTAAGTTTGCTATTAAAAGTACTAATAAGCAATTAAGTATAATAATATACAGTATTTACCTTTTGAAACGTGCTTCATAGTTACTTTGAAATTATGAAAAAGGTGGAAAATGGAAATGGTCAAAAAATAAGGGGTCGTCTAAAGCCATGTACCTTTACATATGATCTACATATTGCATAAATTCTGTTCTTGATATCGATATATAAATAAAACTATTAAATGCATCAAAAAAACTAACCCTAAGGTACATGGCTTTAGCCATCCCCCAAAATAACTAAAATTCATACCCATGCCATACTATAGGCATGCCATTGGCATGCCGTAACGGGAAATTTTCGGAAATTTTCCTAAAATTTCTCATTTTCTATATAAATGGCAAGCCTATTAATTAGACATGCCCATGACCTCTGTGCCACACACCCTAGTGTCACCACTAGGGTTGTGTTACGAAAATTAATAATTTAGCAGGCTTTTTTAAACCAGTTAATAAATTCGTATATTAGAACTTTTTTTACTAGACCTAATGTAATATATTTATTATCAGTTATACATAGAAGTCTTGTTAATAGAGTACTTCGGATTATTATTATACTATGGAATTACTATCACTACTCAGGATTAGGATATATAGTATGTAATATGATGCCAGACATCTATACTCAACAATTAAACGAAGTGTTTTAATTTTTTAAGAAATTTTAAAAAAATCTATATCAGCTCTACATGTGTGCCAAATATCTTTTCACTAAAAAGTTTTAACGATTTGAAAATTAAATTTATATATGAAATTTCAATTTTCAAATCGTTAAAATTTTTTAGTGATGAGATTTTAAAAAGATATTTGGCACACATGTAGAGCTAATATAGCTTTATAAAGAGATTTTTTTTAAAATTTCTTAGATAAAAAGGTATAATTATTTAAAAAATTGAAACACTTTGTAAATTATAAATTTTGATGTAATTTATATTATATTCTATTACGTAATTTACAGTAAGTTATATGTAACTTATAAAAATTTGCTAAACTCTAGTTTTTGCCTTGTTTTCATATTGACATACAGTAAATTAAGTATACAAAACATCATGCCCAAAATTAAAAACTTCGAATTGAATAGTTACAGCTATTCTCAAATTCTGAGATAAACTAAATCTCTTCAGTTTCATTTTGTGAAATTCTTCAGATATTATATCATTACCTCTAGATATAATTTACTATAATTAGGTAGTATTCCTTAAACTGTCTAGTAGCCAAATTTGGCTGCTAAAATCTTTTTTTTTGATTTTGTGTGATTGTACTTGATGTTTTTAAGCAATAGTATCTTTTTTCCTAAGTTCAAATCAAAATTTGCTATTTTGCAGATCAATTTGTGATTTCATATTACATGAAGGTAGTATAGCAATTATCTTTTGATCACTATTAATTAAAAAGCAAAAAAATCTAAAAATAAAAAATAAAAAAAATTTACAACTATACTAAAAGCAAGTTTATCTTTATATTTACCTTATCTGAAGATATTGAGATATTTTCTAATAGTAAAGACAAAGAGTACATATTAGTTCTGATATTCTGATAACATTATTTAAACTATCTGAAGTTAGATAATGAAGAAGAAGAAGAAGTTGTTGAAAGTGATAGTAAAAAGGGCTGCAAACAATCAAAAAACATATCTAAATTGCTACTACTATCTTTAGATTTTGAACTATTAGTTTATTTAAAAAATTTACATTAGACATTTATTAATTTGCTACCAAATTATGAAGTTAGTTTCTCAAAACTGATCAACTTTTTTTTTCTTTTTTTTATAAAAATTTTACTGAACAAAATTGTTCTCAATATGAATTCATATACATTAATTAAAGATACTAATCTTATTAGAAGACAGTAGAAAAATATAGATTACAAAGAGCTTTTTATCTAAATTGCTCTTATTATTTATCAGAGAGTTTTTTAGCAATCTTCACTTGATAATTACTGGAATAAGGATCTGAAGCTCCCTATTTACTATATTTCTAAACAAATACTGCTAAAATATTTTGAACAAATTAAAAGATACTTTTATATCTCTTCTCTTGTAGTAGATATTAATTATTATTTCAAAAAGTTAGAGCTGCTACTTTTCTATATTTGCAATATTTTTAATCAACTTTATATACTTGTTGTAGTACCTCTTAACCACGAATCTGATGATTTCTTAAACTATCGGAACTATTAGAGTCTCTTTATTAAGGTAATATTTTTATGTTAGTACTAATATTTCATTTGATTGATTTATTTTTGAGAAAATGTACTGACTTCTTTTATTACTTTTTATTCTGCTTATATATTCATATTTTGACTCTAAATTATTATATCATAAATTTATTATACGATCATTAACTCTTAAATTAATTATATAATAAGTTGGTCATATAATATTTGACTTTTCTTAATTACACATTTATTATG